ACACACACAGACACACACACACAGACACACACACAGACACACACACAGACACACACACAGACACACACACAGACACACACAGACACACACACAGACACAGACACACGCACACACACGCACACACACCTTTATCTTGCGTCGAGTGTACATCCCCTGCGACAGACCGCCCGCCGTAAAATTCCTCCAATCCACGGTAGTGTGGGGGTGGTTTACACGAACCAGGAAAAGGCTGAGGTTTTCGCCGATAGCTTGGAACTGCAGTGTAGACTGCCTCAGCTGCCCGACGAAGACGAGGAATTCGAGATAGTGGCTGAGCGCGCGGCCCGACGCGTCGACAGAGAGCCAGACAATGACATAATCCCCCCCGCAACACCTGACGAACTAAGACTGACAATACGCAGACTTAAAAACAGAAAAGCCCCCGGACCCGACAATATACATAACACGACACTTAAACGACTACCACACAAGGGCCTCATGGCCCTACTAAACATAACAAACGCGACACTCAGACTAAGACACTTCCCTACCCGCTGGAAAACAGCAAACATAATCCTTATCCCAAAACCCAACAAAGATCACACCATCCCATCCAACTACCGGCCCATTAGCCTGCTCCCGGCTATGAGCAAAGTGGTAGAAAAAATTATCCTAACCCGTCTAAGAACCCACTCCCAAGAACTGCAAGTCATTCCAGACGAGCAGTTCGCCTTCCGACCCAATCACTCCACTGAACTCCAAATCCTTCGCCTTACCGAGCACATCACGGCGGCCTTCAACAGGGGACAGTACACTGGTGCTGTCTTCCTGGACGTCGCAAAGGCCTTCGATACGGTTTGGCATGAAGGCCTACTGATGAAAATGCTCACCAACCAATATCCCATATCCTTTACCAAACTCATAAAATCCTACCTACACCACCGAAAATTCCGCATCCAAATCCAAGATTCCCTTTCCACCACCCGTCCCATGGAGGCCGGTGTCCCCCAGGGCACCGTCCTGTCCCCACACCTATACACCATTTACAACTCCGACATCCCACATCCCCCCAACACCAACATATACTTATACGCCGACGACCTGACAATCACATCCCAATCCGTAGATCCTAGATATTCCGTCTCCCTCCTCCAAAACTCCTTAGACCAACTTGAAACCTGGTGCAACAGGTGGAAAGTCAAAATTAATCCCAACAAAAGTTCGGCTATCCTTTTTACCAAACGAAAAATCCCACAAAACCTCGACAGACTGACACTATCCCAGGAACCCATCTCCTGGAATCGACAAACACGATACCTGGGCGTGACGATGGACCAGCGTCTCACGTGGAAACCGCACATCGTGGAGACGGTGGCGCGAGCGAAGACCACCAGGGCTAGGCTCTATCCCATACTCAAAGGTGGAAACACCCTCAGTTTAAGGAATAAGCGAACGCTTATCAAGGTGGTACTTCAACCGCAGCTAACCTACGCCTCCACGGCGTGGGGTCACGCGGCAAAAAGCCACTTAAAGTCATTACAGGCTGTGGAAAACATAGCCCTCCGCACGGCCACCGACGCGCCCTGGTACGTAAGAAACACTGACATATTACGAGACTTACAATACACAAACGCTACACAGACAATAAGACAAAACGCGGAGAAACGGTTTGACGTAGCCGCTAGACATGACAATCCCCTCCTCAGGCAAGCCGTTGACTACGTACCCGACGTGACCGACAAACACAAAAGACCTAGACACCAACTTTTTGACCCTGGGTGACCACCCCAATGACCCCCCCCCCTGCCCGCTAACCTTTTCTGTTTCAGAGACAGCCAGGATCAAGAAACGAAGACAACGACACACACACACACATACACACCCCCCATACCCTCCTTTACCCCTCCCCTCCCGCGCTAGCCTAAGGGCCACCTTAGCAAAGCGCATCCCAGGCTGCATAGCCGCACTACCCTACCCAACCATACCACACATAAACATGACACTACCCCCGGGGTTTACACAGACGAGCCGGCGAAGCAAGAAGAGCGCCAGAAGAAAGGGCCCTAGCCGGCGGGGCCCAGCCAGGACAAAAGGAGGTCCCACAAAGCGCTTACACCGGCCGCATTTGCGGTCGGGGTAGACGACGGATGGGGCCCACCTACGAAGGCTGTCCAAGCCTACACGAGATGAGGCAGGATAAAGAGGGATAATCCCCCTCGATCCCAAATCATTGAGGCCAATTTCTAGCCATAGAATAATGGCGGCGGAGTGTACATCGAGTGGCACCTCCAACATTTTTTGTTTTTAATTTTTAATTGGACATAATTACTGTGTTAGAACCGTACATATTTTTAAAATAAGAGCCTAGAAAATCTTACTGCCTACTAACGTTATTTTCACTAACAAAATTTAACCATTGGGCATATTGCGTCCCTGGCGTTCTCGGCATAATGAAGTTTCACTTACAACATCAAAACAAGCTATACGTATGTGTTATCCATCACCAAATCTGCATCATGCTGAAGTTAATAGTTTAGAGACTGTAAATAAAAATAACTTTTTAATTTTCACATTTGAGGGCCTGTAACTTGTTAACGAAGGCCTGTATCAAAAAAATTTGTATGAAGAACTGATATTATTTTGACCTCATCTATTTGTACTCGACTTTTTTGTATCAAGTACTGTATATAATTTCAACATTCTGCTACAAAATCCTTCATGGCATACATATACTTTTTTTATGAGACGAAATTAAATAAATCCCCTCGAATTTATAAATATACAGAGTGTCCCAAACAAAAGTAGCTACCTCGAATAAGTTTAAAAATAATTATTTTCTATCCATCCATCTCACAAGAAATTGACTATTTAAAAATCGTTGATCATTTAAGGCAAAATGAGTTACCCCATCCTGTTGGAAAAGTAGTTTATTTTTCAAATGTTTTCTTCCAGAATTTGAGTAAGTGCTAAACCAAGACCGATTGGAAGAAGAGATCCTGTAGAGTGGCCAGTCATATTACCTGATTTTAAATTCTTACAGGTTATTAAGAGGGCATCTGAAATCGTCACAAATTCGCCACTATTACTAACTTAATTCATAACTGTTTGCAATGAGCAATTTTTTGTATATAATTCTCATATTTAAAAAAATCATCACTGAAGATTCTGTATAAAAGTTTTTTCATAAAGTTGCCTTGAAATTTTACTTTTGTTATTTGAATCGATGACCTCGTAGCCCCTGGCCAGTGTTTGCAGTAAGAATGTGTCCAGGGGCGAATCCAGAGATGGATTTTGGGCGTTTGTACAGTTGATATTCTAAAAAGGGTGCTGTCAAAAAGATTGAGAACTGAGTTTAAAGTTTAAAATTTCAATATAATATTATCAACAGTAGGTATAGTCGTTACGATATCAGTTAGAACCGCATAAAAACATTTAACTCATAAACTCTACGGAATCCATAGGCGTCCAGAAAAATTTTGTCCTGTCTCATCTAGAAATACTATATTCCGAGCTATATTCCTATTTGAATCACCAGTCTGGTGATTTTGTTGATGAATCATCTTCACTTAGATATTGGGGGTGTAACTTAATACTGAATGGGGCACGTACCCCACCCACAGTATTAATAATTGTTAAAAAAATTTGTTTGCATTATAACCAAAACTGGCAAACTTTGACGTTAAGGAAGATTCAAATTGAGAGATCAAAATGATTTGTGTCACTGTGATGGAGGAAAGATATGATGTTGTATTACTTGTGGGAACTGTTTAGAGAGGGAAGAAACCTGTTGATCATATTTAACAGGTTACCATGTTTCCTTGTTATTTCTAAGGTTTAGAGGAAGAGAATGATGTTTTTAGATCACTACAAGTTACTTTCACAAACCCTTAATAGTTTAGGTTCCTCTATTCATTAAACAAAACATAAATCCTGTGCATTTTTGAGGAAATCTTGACAAAATCACAACTTTTAAGTAAAACTCAACAAATACAATAAACCTGTCATTTATACTTATCCTGTTGGATCAAAATCAAATTTATTACATAAGTGGTTTGTTTTAATTTTTTTGTGAAGTTATCCATATTTCAGTTGAACAAAATTTTTAGTTTAGCAATGCCTAATCAAATATAGTTTGTGGTAAAGTTTGTGAAAATGGATTGTGCATAAACCCCTCATAATATATTGGCTCATATACACTGAGTCAAATTCAGTACATTTTGTTTATTTCAATAAGTAAAGCTTATTCGAAAAGATTTAAAAAAATTTAAATTGCAACGAGAAAATTTTGAAAAAAAAAAATTATATTTAGTAACAGATGTTTTTAATTTAAGAAAAGAGTGTCACCCAAAATCACTGGATTTCAATTTCGGCAACTTCTTTATGAGATCTTAGGTTATGAATTTAATTCGAGTCTATTTTACACATTAGTTTTCGAGAAATGTATTTTAAAACAAAAAAAAACAATGTTTTATTTTTGTCAAAAAGTGAAAAACATCTAAAATAACTTTTGCCCTAAGACATTGGTTACAATGCATATTAAAAAAAATAATTTTAAAATAAAGATGCATTTACATTTCAATTTTTTTTAAACTTTTGAATAGATAATTTTACAAAACCTTCCAACTGTGGTGTCACTGAACCGCCCTTTGAATAAAAAAAATTAAGTTGTTCACATAGATTGCACTGACATTAGAGATGAAACTTTTACATCATAGTGTTCCTTGATCAGACTAAGATAGGGAACAGCAAATTGTAACACTTATTAGATTTCACAAATTTTATTAGAATATTTGAGAACAGAATGCATTTCCTAAAAATATAAATTATAACAAAATTATATCTACACTGTATTTCGAAAACCGAACATTTATTACATTTTTAAAACAATATTTGACAAAAAATGTATTCCTTAAAATACATTTTTTTGTATGTGAAAAATTGAAACTTAAGATCCACAGCCTGATCCAAAAGTTTTATCCCAAGATATATACTGCTCCAAATCTTTGGGAGAAACAGTTGATTTCACTCTACCAAATGCCTTTTCAAAATCATCCATCATTAATGGACGAACCTGAAAGATATAAACATGTACTCTCAAAATAGTAGTTTTAAACTAATTTTTACCTCAGTAGATTGTATTTTTTCAATTAAACTAATATCTATAGACCTTATAGGACCTAATGATGCCTCTGAACACAAATTCTTAATATCTGCTCCGGAATAACCATCAGAAAGATTAGCAATTTCTTTAAAATGCTCCTCAGTCAGGCAATGTTTTTCATTTAGTATAAGTTTCTTTACTAAGTGTAAACGTCCCTTAAAAGTTAAAAAAATTAACACAAAAAAAAAACAGCAAGAAATATTCCAAGTTTACCTCGTATTCAGGTAATGGAATGTATAATCTTTTAACAAAACGCCTCCTAGCAGCCTCATCCAATTCTTGAGGTCGGTTAGTTGCCCCAATAACGAGAATTCTTTCATCACTATCTGTAGTGGCACCATCTAATTGTACTAGAAATTCAGTTTTAATTCTACGAGAAGATTCATGCTCCGTGTCACTTCTTTGTGAAAGCAGGGAATCTATTTCATCAATAAATATAACCTGTAAATATGATTCACTACATTTAGAAAATAATAATAAGATTTGTTTTATATATTATTATATATTTCATATTATGGAATATTCTACAATTATGATTTATAATATTTCAATTAAATTCCAACTGTATTTGTAATTACTCTAATTTTAGTAAGCTGCTTTTTTAAGTTGGAGTTTTCCTTTTAACACAACAAAGTAAACCTTTTACCCTTTTAATTTAGATAAATCGTCTGCCTAAAGAAGGCGTTTGAAGATATCAGTTGCACATTGTTTTGTCACAACTCAAGAAAGTGTTTTCTGCAAATTATTTTCATTGCATCTCCTTTATGTCTGTGTAATTTCTTCATTGTATTCATTTCAGTCTTTTACACTTAATTTTGCATACAATTTCACAAGCATATCCTCAAGTAGTTTAGGCACATTATTTTGCACAAAAAATTTTGCTTCTTTTATTGAGTTAAAAAAAAACGCAATCTTAGAAAAACCCTTACATAATTTTAAACATAAAACAGGCAAGTAGCTATTTTATATCAAACTTTGCAGAACAACATAATCAGAATACAGAAGAAACAGTTGTTTAAAAAATTAACAGTTTAACCCCCAACGACTATCTAGAGGTATGACATACTGGCTTGCAGATGAAAACTCCTGCGTTTTTTTTGTTTTACAATTTAGAGGCCAGGGGCATAGTACCTTTCAGGCTAGTCTATTAGCATATCCCAGTGTGTTGAGAGTGCTAAATATGTGAAGTTGTTTTGGTTACATCGAGTTTATCAATCGACCATGGTATATAATGTTTTTTACAGTGATATTTAAAACTATTTTGTATATCTCGATGGTTTTTAATTGCCACTTGTCTTTTGGTAATTAAGAAAATGTCTGAATGCCCTGAACCATCTCGTATGCATCCAGACGACCCTCATTTTGAGAAATGTTGTACAAAATTGCAGAAGATGAATGGACTAGCGATATAGTACACGATCAAGAAGATATTGTAATTCCTAGTGAACATGATATTGATACAGATACAGAGGAAAATGAGAGTGATTCTGTTCAATATGACAAAGAAGTGATTCTTCAGGGGATAGAGATTCTGTTGGCAAATTTTATTTACCTGGTCCGTATTGAATCTCTTTTAGGAATTGCTGGGAAAAATGTACAACCTATTCAGACCGATCGTCTGGATACAAAAAAGACTTGCTCCAGTTTTTCTTACAAATTAAAAAGAAAAAACCTTTTATGTATGTGTCAAATGTTTCCAACCGCATAGAGCATGTAAGAAAAGTTTGCTAGACCTGTATGAATAAATATGACTAATATTTTTTTACATTTTGGTTTGTTATAATATCCCTTGTCATTTTTTGACTTTAACTGCTTATAAATATTTACACATTTTTACCTAATTGAAATACACATGTATTTTGTATTTCAAGTAATATTCAGTTTCTTTTATAGCGATTCAGACAGGTAGCCGTTGAGGGTTAAGATTTTGTGAGGATTTAAAAATTCTGAATCGTTTTGTAACTTACTGCTGGTTGATGAACACGAGCCACTGTAAATAAAACTCTAACCATTTTTTCTCCATCTCCAATCCATTTTGAAGTCAGTGAAGACGCACTTATACTAAAGAAAGTTGATTTACTTTGTGAAGCTACACATTTACCTAAAGAGTGTAAATAGTGATTACATATTTAAATTTAACTTATTACATATAGTGGAGTTTAGTTATAACATCCAAGAGGTAAAAGGAATTGTGGTAAATTGAATGGTTAATGAAAATTAATCTACATGAAAAGAAACTTAATATGCGGTCGATCATTTAAAATGGAATCGTAATAAACAAACTCCACTGTATCTATAACACCATAAAGTTTACCAGCAAACATTGGATTAATAAGGATATTATGTGAAACAGCAAAAGCTCAGGCAAAAGCATAAATTTTATTTTTTTATAAATGTCCAATTTTTAGAAAAAAATTTTAGATTTTTCTTTTTACCACTTTTGGTATCTATATGATTCTCTGATAGATAGAAAAAAACTTGGAAATAAAAGACACCTTGTATATTTTATTATATACGAAATGTCTGTTGCTTGATCCCCTTTACTATTTAAAAAAAAAATTAAAAGTGTAGTAGCTACTTACAGGACAGTGAAGTACAGTTTTTTTATTAACATATGCTCTGATTAGTGTTAAATAGAGAATTTGAGTGTTCGGAAAGCGAATATTAAATTTTTTAGTACTGACCAAAAATTACTAATGATATTTTACTACGTTAAATTTCTCTTTAATTTTTTGAGGGCATTAAATACATTTTTTTATTTTGAAGAATATTTAGATATTTATTCTTAGTTTGTCTAAAAACATATCTGCAAATTTCACATTACACCCAACCCCAACAAATAAAATAGTCTGCACTACAAATTGTACAAGCTAAAGAAAACAAGCCGCAGTTTGTTGTTCTAAATTCAGGTTAAAAAATAATTTAAATGTAAATTTTTTTAGTTATAGAGAACTGATAGTGTGTTTCTATTCATTGTTTTAGTTATTAAAAATTTGTTGAATTTTTATTGATCTAAATAAAATGTATTTATTTATTTTATTTAAGTCGGTAGATAGCCGCACGGTTTAAGGCGTCAGTACTTAAATCGATGTGTGCTATCTGCCCAGGTTTCGAATCCCGCGGCCGGTAGACCGCAGATTAGCTATGCTTGTACGGAGGATTGGCACCCTCTGTGCAGGTATGGTAGGGTGGAAGAATGTTGGCTTGGGTCAATGTGAGAGATTATCACCGGTTGGCATTTGACCACCCTCTTAATGAGGTTTTCCAGGTTTCCCTCATTCCTGCACTGAATGGTGGTTAAAGCCTATCAACGTAAGTCGTTCCTGGGCGCAAATGCGGCCTGCTTAATAATAATATGCCGCCTCCTCTCCCGCACAAGTCTCCGACTTCTGGGCTAATTCTCGCAGTTAGAATGAGTAGTAGAGATATTATTATTATTATATTATTATTTTGTGTTAATTTGTGTTTGAGCTCTACTACGTAATTTGAGATTTAAAAGCATCTTGACGTGAAAGTTTTATTAAAATACATTATTTTCTTATTCGCTAAATATATCCTAGCAATGTAGGAAGTTTTTAATTTTTATTATAATTATTAATTAATAGCCGTTTACTAGAATTATTTCCAATATAATTCATTGCTTCTTGGGGCATGCAGCCCATACAATTATTTCCCGCAACCTAAATTTTTAGTATCAGAGTATTGCATGACTTCGTTTGACAGGATTTTAGGAAAATTTTTTAAAATAAAATAAACAAAATATTGCTCTTTGTTTTCTTTTCTCTTAATACAGACTATAAATAATTGCTGTTATATGTTGCTTCGTGTGAAGTTGGATTGTTTCGGCTTGTTTGTGATGATGTACTCTATATGTTATGTTTGATATACTATATTTTCTTTGTCTTATACACATTTATATGTATGACTGTATTCACATTTGTACCTTTGACTTGCCATAAATGTACCTATATGCGTATATGTAACATGGTCAAATAAACTTTCTTTCTTTCTTTCTTTCTTTCTTTCTATACCTAAACATAGCCAGCTCAACATTGCTGAGATATATAACTGTGCAGCATGTCTATGTACAGGGTGTTTCATAACTCTACCGACACAGAGCAGGCACGTGTAGAGGATCTTAAAATATGGCGATTTGTTATGTAACATTTTTTTCTGGAATGTACCGTTGAAAAGATATTGACCTCTGATGATGAGTGTTAAATTTAGAAAAATAATATTTCAGCAATGCCTTAACATAGAGCAACCAAATTTGGTACATGATTTGCATTTATTGTTATCTTTAATTGGTAAAAATAAAAATTTGTTGGAAGCTCAATAAGAGCCGAACTAGCGGTAGCGTGTTGTTAAATTGATATCGATTTTCTTATCAGTAAGACAATTATCAAATAGTTTTACAAGTATTACCGGAAATTTAATTTAAAATTTTTTTTTACTCTAATTTTCCGACAAAATAATGGTTCTTGAGAAAATCCGGGTTTTGTGAAACAGCGTCATTACTAATTGAATCGGACAAAATGTAAAGTATGCAGTTTTATGACTAGTAGACTACGATTTCATGAGTCATTTTTGATATTTACAAAAAAAGTATCAAGAAAAATCAATTTCATAAAATTGGATTATTTATTTTGTTTTTTATTGAAAAAGAGGAGCCTTACAAACAAAACATTAATAAATTCAACTTTAACCACATGAACTACCGATATCGTTAGCACTATAATAACTGTTGAAAATGGCCATCATTTTCTCTAATACATAAATTATTTACCCTATACCAAAAATTAAAGTCTACTCTGCGCAATAATTGTGGATTATTTCTTATGGCGTTGCATTTATTATTTATACGATTCTATAAATCTGCTTCAGATACAACCAGTGTAAAATAAACAAATTCTTTTAAAGCCCTCCACAAAAAAAATCACATTTATTCAGATGGCCAATTTTCTGGACAATAGTTTCCTCACCCTATCCATCTATACGGGAACTGCTGGTTCAAGAAGTCTCTTACTTTAGCACTAAAATGCAGTGGAGCACCATCCTGCATCGTGCCACATTTGATGTCTTAATTGTAAAGGTAAATCCTCGAGTAACCCAGGGAGACTATTTTGTAAAAAAAAAAATAATTTTCGCATTCAGCCGGTTTGGTAGCCTACTGGCCTAACCACCGACAATACTAGCCCGCACGTTTATTTTAAATTAATTTTGAAAATGGTTGAGGAATTATTGCATGTGGATTTTCATCCACTCCAGCCTTTATTGGGCTTCTAACAAATTCATATTTTTATTACCAATTAGAGATAACAATAAACGCAAATCATGTACAAAGTTGGTTGCTCTATAGTAAGGCATGCTGAAATATTGTTTTTCTAAATTTAACACTCATCTTCAGAAGCCAATATCTCTTCAACGGTACATCGGCTATATTTTAAGATCCTCTACAACTGCCTGCTCTGTGTCGGTAGAGTTCTGAAATTTAAGGCAATATTTGCAGGTCATACCGCTAGCTCTAATTAAATTAAAAGGTGATTAGATGTGATATTTTCCTTTTTCCTCATACGAAAAGAAAATAAAATTTTCACTTTGGCTGTAACAAAAGTGAACCAACAAACTTTGAATTTACAGACCATGTACATGTCATATAAATGTTTCTCCTAAAATGAAGAGTCATAATATACTGGTAAAGATTCAGAGTGACAACTTGCTTTTTTAGCAGAGTGATATTTTTGATTATTACTTAATATACCTACTTAATAAAAAACCTTCTTTTGGTTTTTTAATATTATCTCGCTTATTGTTAGAGATGGACCCAACAATCTGACAGGAAACGTTCTATCCAAATATGTAAAAATATACAGGGTGTTCCATTTAAATTAACAAAGTTAACATCCGCTGCCATTTTGTTTGGACTTCATTTGTTTTTCTACTATCATTTTCGAAAACTTCATAAAAAATCGTGCAACTTTTGTATTTCACATTTTTTATAAATCTTAGAACAAAAGAGTTAAAGGGAGGAGGGTCAAAATATAGTGAATCACTCTGTAACTTGATCTACAGTTGGACACGCTGTAAGTAAAGACATTTATTGCTAAGTTTTTAAAAATACCTATTAATGTTTTTCCAGTTCCTGGTGGTCCAAACAGCAGTATTCCTTTTGGAGGTCTTCGAAGACCTGTGAAAATATCAGGCCTTAACATAGGCCATACAACTGCTTCTTGTATGGCCATTTTAGCAAAAGTTAAACCTGCTATGTCATTCCAATGTATATTTGGTCCACAGTCCATTATTTCTGATTTAATAAGTTCGATCATTTTAGGTTCAATGTTTTTTAAACGATTATCTACGTCTAGAGGCCACTCATCATTTTTCATTTCCTCAGAACTAAAACAATGAAATTGACTTCACTTTTGCCTTATTTTTTTGTATCTAATTGTTACCTGTCATTATTAGATAATAAAGGTGAAATGAATTTGCTATTAATATTTCTCCTGGTGCCAAGTTTCTTTTTCTGTCCTGTTAGACTATTTACTGGCATATTTTGTAGAGCACCTGGATTTCCATATTTTTTTATATTTTGTAACTGTAATTCATCTCTAGCTGTTTTAAAACAATTTAAATAACTTTTTTCTTCATTAATTTTTCTGTGGTCATCCCTATTTTCAGAATTTGTTGCTTCTCTGTATTTAATACCTTCAAGTTTATTTTGCTGTTTTTCTTTTAAGTAATCTGACTGTATACGGTTAGAAGAATGAAGCTTTGAGTTTTGTGATGAAACTTGAAAAGCGTCGATAAATTCTTGAAGTTCAATGTCAGAAGGTGTCTCTGAGATTTGACAACAATTTTTGTTTATTTCAGAACAAGGTAGTGGCTTTATTAATGTTTTTATATCTATCTTATCCAAATTTGATTTGAAGTTTTTGTTGGATAGTTGAGTTGGTGAAACTAGATTTAATAGTTGTTCATCAAGAATATGTTTGTCATTTGGTAATACAGTTTCCGAATATTTATTTAATTTCGATTCTAATAAATAGCAGGTATTACTGTTATTTAAACTGCAACAATATAGGTATATATTTTTAATTAAATATACATTGTAAAAAATACATGTTTAATAAGTTTATAAATACATGTGATATTTTAAGAAAATCTCATTGAAACTTTAAAAAAATGTAAAAACAAGGTCATAATTTTATCAGTTTTACAGAATGGTACCATAATAAAATTAGAAGTGTTGAAATTTAAATTATAATTTGAATTACATGTCATAGAGATTAAATATGTTGGAAAACATGTCTATAACAAATTGCATTTTAGACATCTAAAAATCTGGACAACAGAAGCCAGATATTTAGGACATAAGAAGTGGTTTGACATTAGTTTTATAATTGAAAATTGCGCTATTAGTGCTGAACTGCTTAATGTCACGACTCGTAGGAAAACTCAAGTGAAATGTACATCTACTCTTCAGACTTCTATGTGAAGTCGAGAGACAGGAGTTCACATTTTCATTTCAGTAAAAATATTGTGAATCCTGTTTCGAAACAAGTGTTCCTACCAAAATATTGTTTTTCTGCTATTAATTAATAAATCAGAATTTAAATCTAAACACTCCTCGTAGACGAATAGTTATTAGCATTGTTATAAAATATTTTTAATTTTCACATATCGAGATATTACATACATATTATTTTCTCTAAGTTTCATATTGATTTAGTGGAAATATTTATGTGTGTTTCATAAATATTGGAACTATTATAATTTATTATAAATCACTGATACCTCATTACCTCTTACAAGAAGCTTTAAACATCTGTGCTAAACATTTACGTTGGATATAGGCGGATTTAGAACAGGAAGTATCTTTATTCCCATCTTGAAACAGTAACTGTTGATAAATATTAAGGTTTAACTCATTCCCTTGTGGATTCATATTTTTCAATATATCAGAAATCGAAAATAAAGATTTTTAATTTTTATTTCACGTATCATTTGAATATTTGTTTACATTTAAATAACCTCACTTTTTATTTGTTATGTACATAGACCATAGACCTCATAGACCTAATAAGCTTGTAAGGTCTATGGTATTGTTAGGTAACGCAGTCAGTAATGATTTTCTGGGAACTGCTCCTGAACTGATCTTTAATTGTTCTACTTTTTAAGCACTCCAAACATACACCGTATAATAGTTGTTTTCCTTTTACAAAATTCTAGTTTCCTTAAATAATCTTAGCTGAACTAACTTACAAAAGGAACAAGAAAACTGTCATGAACTTTTCTTAGGTTTTGATTTTGTCACGTCTATATAATTAAAACCTTATTTTTTCCCGCTAGAGGAATTAGCCTTTGACTAGGACCAGAGACAATACTATAGAGGCAGAGAGGAAATAAATAGTTTCCAGAGTTCTACTGACGTCTTTCTGCTTCTTCTATAAACACATTTATAGTATAATTATTATTATCTGAAGAATCTATTAGTCAGTAACATTTTTTTTGTATTATCGACTTAAACCCACAAAATATATAGCGATTTCCATTGAGGAAATCCGGGCAGCACTCGGGCAGCACTGACACTCCACTGGTTGTATGAGAAATATGCTCTGGTGCAATCTCAATGGAATGACAATTTTTGCATGGGTTTCTGACATTATAGGTTATGTTTATGTTTTGATTTTTATTCAGTCAAAGTAACAGTTGGCCAGTTGAAGTTTTTAAAGAAGGTAGTTACAATGAACCAAGAATTAAATTTGAAATTAAAATAAACGACGAGGAAGTTACATTGTGTATTCCTGTAGACGAAACGGATCACTTATTTAAGTTTGTAGATGACATTTTTAATGAATCCTTCCACTTTTGGCAGTTGTTTGCGTATAACTGGTATAACATACATTTCATCATCATCACTACTACTACTTGATAAAAACGATAATAATGGAGCAACTACTTTGTCCATATTTACCGCCATTTTTTCTTGCACTGACACCGGCACCAGCTCCAAGACCTCGTGCGAAATAATATGCACTCAGAGCAAGAACTGTTGCTCTAGTTTTTCAATGGAATTTGAAAATTTGCACCGACTTGACCAATGGAACGTCAANCTAATTCAAGCGCAGTTCGCAACGGCTGAGCGAGAATCTGCTCTGCTGTGGCCGGCACGCCTGAGCTATGTCTCTGGCGCTAGTAAATTGCACTTTGCAGTAAACGCTCCGAAAAATCACTGCTTCTTTTGTCGCGGCGGAACAGTCAGCTCCAGTGACAACTGCGGAACAGTGCCAAAGTAGCAGACAGTGAAAGAGCAACACATCTCTAATAAGGAACAGTCACTTAGGCAAGATTATTTTAGGTTAGCCAAGATTTGTGGTAAAAGGAAAATAACATATACATTGCATAACTTATAACATATACATTGCATAACTTATAAAAATATAAATAAATTGTATGTATATGTTCTATTATTTGGAACTAAAAGCACAAAAACCAAAGCCGTCAATTATTAAAAGCCGACTGCACCGAAAATTTTGTTTTCAAAAAATTTCTATAAGGCCGGTGTCCCATGCATCCGAAATCCGACGATACGAAGGTACGAAAGTGTTCCTATTGGTTAATATACATTCAAATTTTTACCGCTCATTTTCATCCGAAATTTTTAAAATTCATACGACGTCGAAAAAAGTAGAAATAATTTTAATTTTTTAACCTCACTTTTTAAGTTTTTAACATTTACAGTGAAATAAATGTTATAATGTCGAATGTAGAAAATATAATACTACGTATATTTTCTATGATATATATCTATGGTTGTCATTTGAAAATGTTTCACCTGCCAGTGGCGCTTTTTTTCTTTTTGTCAATCAATGAATATGCTTCACCTATTCTCATTGTCACGAGCCGCCACTGTAAATCCCTGTATACAAATTTTCAGATTTCAATTCCGACTACTTTTTGATATAATCCTACTGGGCCCTCTTCATGGTACACCCTGTATACAGGCTGTTACAAATTCGCTTCTCACTACAGGGATCTCGGAAACGGCAACAGATACAAAGTAGCTTAAATGGAGGCCATAGATAAAAGAATGGGGGCAAAGCTGCATAATTAGGGGACCAACATTATGCCTCTAAAAAATCAAGGCTAACTTGATTAGTTTTCGAAATATTTGAAAAAAGAAACGAAATTTTGGAAATCCGTTTTTGTTTCATTTCAGTCTTGTTTGAGGTGATATTGAAAAAATAACACTTTGTCATGGCAACTTTTTGCCCTCTATCGAATGGCATAATCAGTTTTTATTTGTAACCTTTCATCTCTCCAAGACCATCAACTTAATTTTTTTTTAAATACGACACTGGAAATTTTATTACATTTTTTGCAAGCCTTCATGACCTCCAATACTGTACTGCCTCAGCTCGAACCAGATTCACACGTTTTGTCTAGAAAAATTCATCTGCTCTGATTTCATATTAGGTATAATCTAAAAATCATTTGCAAAAGAATTCACCTTTATACAGGGTGGTCCCGAGGCAATGGGCCAAAATTCATGGGTAGATTCCCGAAGCAAAAATATTGTGATTTAGACGAACTTACCTTAGTCCAAAAGTTGATAGTTAAAGAGATACGGGGTGTTAAATGTAAAATATTATTTTAGTTTATTTCCATTTATTTCTTAATAAATGCAAATATCTACACAAAATTTGGGGTTTGGGATTCTTTGGGCAGAGGAATTAAAATTTGTTCACATTTTGGTTATAGTCCATAGAGGGCGCCAGCTGCCATAGATTGAATGTGTTGGAAACGACAACTTTTTTGTACTTTAAGGTATCTCATCTTTGGTATCAAATTCTTATTTTCCAACTTTTTTTACACAAAAAGGGTAGACTTTATGAAAGCAGCTATCCCGCACCGTTTCCGAGATATTTGGCTTTGAAACTTCCAATGCTAATAGTTCAAATAATTAAAATAATTTAGAAATGTCAAAAACAAGGGTTTATTTAGAATTAAAAATTGTTATGAACAATAAAATAGTAAACATTAGTAAAAAAATATGCCTTTTTGACAATAATTGTTCAAAATGTCCACCTTTAAGTTCAATACATTTATCAACGCGTTTATTAAAAAAAATTTCTTATTTTAAAGTATAAATCCTTAACGCGAAATGACTTTGCAGCATTTAAAACCTGCTGCTAAAATTCTTCTCAGGTGTTTATAGTTCTCCATAAACAACTGAATTCATGTAACTCCAATAACGAAAAGCTCGGCATTCTATCTCACATTTATGTATACGAGTATACAATTTAAATTGTAAGCTAATTGTAAGATATAATTTTAATTAGGTAGAAATAATACTTAATAGAAATTAGCATACAAATTACAGCAATAAGACAAGTGGAAAACGTCAATTATTTGATTTTCCTCCAAATCCTACTTAAGAAACTTTGCCGCTAAATTAATAATACCTGTATAGGTACTTAATTGTAATTTAATGCAACAGCAATGGAAGCTTCAAAGCCAAATATCTCGAAAACGGTGCGAGATAGCTACTTTCATAAAGTATACCTTTTTTGTGTAAAAAAAGATGGAAAATAAGAATTTGATACCAAAGATGAGATACCTTTAAGTATAAAAAAGTTATATCGTTTCCAACATCTTCAATCTACGGCAGCTGGCGCCCTCTATGAACTATAACCAAAATGTGAACAAATTTCAATTCCTCTATCCAAAGAACCCCAAACCCCAAAATTTTGTGGAAAAAAACTGAAATAATATTTTACATTTAACACCCTGTATCTCTTTAACTATCAACTTTTGGACTAAGGTAAGTTCGGCTATTTCGCAATAATTTTGCTTGAGGAATCTACTCATGAATTTTGGCCCATTACCTCGGGACCACCCTGTATCTATTAGAAATATATATGGTCAGTTTTCCCAATTTTGTTCACAAAGTTGGGGTTTATGAAAATTAGTTTGGATCCAGACATAACATTCTCTCTCTCTCTAAAACCATAAGAACAATGGGGACGAGACTGGCCTAAACACTGACACATATCAAGGGGAGTTTCTATCAGTCGCCATCTACTATTTTCCTTTCTAAGTTTTACTAATTTTCTAACTACATTATACAATTATACATATATTGGGTGGGGCATTTATCTTGAAATAATATCTCGGTTGAACTCGATTATTTCGAAAATAGTTTCGGGCAAAAATTGTAAGGGGTCATTGAAAGGTCCATATTATGACTTAGGGTCTAGACCGGAAGTAGCGTTTTTAGACCACAAGTTGATTTTTTTAAATGGAAACACCCATTTTTTACCATGGATTTCAACTAAAAAACAAAAAAAAAACTTTTTATACTTATTTATTCGATTTAATCCATATTTTGTCCATAAAAAACAAAAAAAAACAAGAATCTTGAGACAACGGAGTACCTTGTTGGGATCAATAAAAAAAAAATGTTTCTTACAAAAGTTGTAGGGTGAAAAGGGGGCTAACTTGACATGACCTTGAAAATGAACTTGATCTTGACTTCAAGGTCGTTTGAAGATCAAATTCAAAATTTTAAATGGGACCCTCTTTTTTGACCGGAAATTACAAGATCGGGAATTTTACAATAAGATATGAACTTAACCGCAACAACAAGATCAGATATCAACGTCGTTATTCCTGGGCAGTGCTAAAAGTAGTTAATAATTATAGTTTTTCGCCCTTAAAATGACCAAAATATGGGTTAAATTGAAAAAATTATAATAAAAAGTATTTTCTTTTAATTTTTCAATCGAAATCCGTGGTAAAAATGGGTGTTTCTATTAAAAAAAAAAATAATTCTGGTCTAAAATCACCACTTCTGCTCTAGACCGGAAACTTTTTTCGAAACAATCGAGATATTATTTTGTCTCAAGATAAATACCCCACTCAGTATAAACAAGGCATTTGTATATGGAAATTTCTGATCCAAAAATATAAATGAAACTAAATAATCGATACGATACTACCATCAGTAGTATAAAATATTTATTAATGTACATCAACAAATATATTAGAAATAAATTATAAGTGCGAATGACCTTTATAAATCAACGACTTCATGCTAACATTTTACTGCTTCTTTAAGTTTGTTTTCTATATATTTAACTCTATGTATTAATTTATCTCTTGGCTTAAATTCGGTGTGGGGTATAATAATAACTTTATATCCTTGTGCCTCTAATAATTTATGTGCTAAAACATTTATACCAGTTGGTTCAACTCTTCCTCTCGTCATGTCATGATAGTCGTATGCCATTAAGGCAATCCTAAAAATGAACAGCTCATGTAAAGACATATATTTACAAGTTAATTTTTTACTAAATATCTTTGATGTAATACAATTTTTTTTAAATGTGCACAACATTTATGTAGGTCCGAAGCATATCCACAAAGAGTACTCAATTTTTTAAAAATCAAAACGATAGTATATATACGAAAAATTTACATATTCAAGAAGGTACATCAAACACTATTTTTCGATATAGTGACCTTCAACTTCAATGTATTTTGTGAGTCGAGGGATTAGCTTTCTGAAACCTTCATCAAAAAAATTTCCCACCGCCTCTCGGGTTCATTGTTTCACGACACTGTGGACCTCATCGCTGGTAGAAAATCTTTCGCCACCCATAAACACCTTTACAGAAGAGAAAAGATGAAAATTAGAAGGTATCAGGTCAGGACTGTGAGCAGGGTGGTTGATGATGTTCCAACTGAATGAATCCAAGAGTTGCTTTGTGGTGTTGGCTGTTCTGCTGTTTCTAATCATGACGCCACTTGTACATATTAGTACGATTCATCACACCATCCCCATAGTTTTAATTTCATTAAAAATCTGAAACAGCGCCTTTCTCTTCGCAAGAAGAAACTGGATTATCCTCCTCACCTCGCTGTTGACGGGATTCTGAATAGCGGCACTCATTTCAATACACCACTACACCAACAGTTCTCGACTGACTGAGATAAATGAGAACTCGTTCTCCTCCCAACATTTTGGCCTTGAATGCAGTGTTGCCAACTTTGTCGAAAACAAAAACTACAGAGTATCAGAGTCTCGGTACTTTGTGGATATGCCTTGTACTTAGGCATTAGGCTAATTTTTATATTTCTGAGCGGTTCGAATTTTTAAAAAGTAGTAAAGATGCCCGGGGCTTAATTTTCGAGAAAATTTGAACTGAAAAATTTGAATCTGATCTTGATCTGTTTAGATTAGTAAAGTTTTTAGAGTTTGTAAAGAAGTTTTTTAGTGTAGAATCCAGGGGTCCAAGCGCCAAGCTTAGCTTAGCTTAGCTGCAATATTGTATTGCAGTATATTGGCTTAGTTGTGGAAAATTTTGAACAATATTTTCTTGAATAAAAACAATCGTCCTGCTAACTTGTTACAAAATAATGAGCTACTATGAAAGTTATCATTTTATACATATCTAACTAAACATAAAAAATCAACTTGTGTCTGATTTTCATATTATATCATAATAACTTATTCCAATATAACATTTTTTCGTTTTTATTCCAATTGAATAAAATGTGTCTTATATTTTAATATAGGCCGATTTCATCTCATATCATGCAGAGCTCCATGGGGACCTGTCACTCCAAAATATGTTTTTATTGTTCTAGGTCAAAAATAAGAGGACCCCTATTTTTTCTTTTTTCTCTCGGACACATAGTTCCATCTATTATGTACTCGAAAAATGCCGAAAAGAAAAATTTAAAAAAATTTTCCGATTGAATTTTGATTGCTTATTTTTTTAATTTTTTGTCGATAAAATAATTCTTATTTTACCTGATAGAGGGAATGGAGCCCTTCAAATCTACCTTTTCAAAAATGTGAATAAATGCATTGTCCGGCAGAAAATACATTTTTTCAAAAAAGTATCTTCAAAAAAAATTAGTTTTTCTCAAAATGGCCATATTTTGTTGCCCTTCATTTTTTTTTTGGAGATTCTTAGTACAAATACCTTCAAATCTACATTTCTGAAATTTGCGGTTTTTGCTTTTTATCGCATAAAACTTAAAAATAAAAAAACCACAATAACATGTGAATAAAATGAAACATTCATTTCTATTCAATTATATACAGGGTTTTGCGCTTAAATGTAATACAAGTCTGTAACTTTTTTATTTTTTGGCCGATTTCAAAAATTTTTATTTTAGAATGTAGGGTAAAAAAATTTTATAACTGTGATACTACTGCTTTATTAATGCAATACATGGCCAACTAGGATATGTTTTCTTGACGTCAAAACAGCTAATTGGTATTAGCGATTTTTTTTCTAAAAAACAGATTACGTATTCTTATTCAGCATCCCTTAAAACGTTTTAATCACCAAGTATCATCAAATTCGATACATCTTTAGGCGAGCACTAGTTAGCCATGTATTGCATTAATAAAAAACAGCAGTATCACAGTTGAATAGAATTTTTTTTACCCTACATTCTAAAATAAAAATTTTTGAAATCGGCCAAAAAATAAAAAAGTTTCGAAGATGTATTTTTTTGAAAAAATGAATTTTCTGCTGAACAATGCATTTATTCACATTTTTGCAAAGGTAGATTTGAAGGGCTCAATTCCCTCTATCAGGTAAAATAAGAATTATTTTATCTTGTCAAAAAATAAAAAAAATAACGAGCAATCAAAATGCAATCGGAAATTTTTTTAATTTTTCTTTTCGGCAATGCACTTTCCGAGTACATAATAGACGGAACTATGCGTCTGAGAGGATCTGAGAGGAATAAGAAAAAAATAGGGGTCCTCTTATTTTTGACGTAGAACAATAAAAAAATATTTTGCAGTAGCTTGGTGACAGGTCCACATGGGGCTCTGCATGATTTGAAATGGAATCGGCCAATAATAATATGTCAAATATTCATTCCACAAACTGCGATATAATAAATCTTGAACTCATTTTTTAGATCTTGATGCAAATGCAAATAACATCAACATTTTTCAGAAACCTCTTCTTCTTCTTCTTCTAGTGTCCTAATAAGTCCCATTGCACTGCGGCCTAATTAGGCCTATTGTGCGTCCCACTATTAGTCCTATTCAGCAAGTAGATTTGTCCTTTTTACAAAATCCAAAAGTTTCCTTGCTGACACTTCTCTCAGTTCAAATAGGGTCTCCCAAGGAGCGCCATTCTGCTACGTGCAAATCCCAGGCACTCGCCCAAGATATGCAGAGAAGTTTCATCCGCCGATTCACATCCTCGGCAGATCGGACTGTCTACAAGTTTTAGCTTATGTAAATGTTTCCTAAAGTGACAGTGTCCCGTTATGAGTCCTGTCACTCTCCTGAGCCGGATTCTGTTCAAGCTCAGTAGTTCATTCGCTCTTTCCTTCGAAGGATACTCCATGAGCTCCTTAGAATGGCTATGTCCTGGCCTTGAAGTCCAGTATTTCCTGTGTTCTGTCTCAGTCCATTTGCCCAGAGCCCGTCTGATCACACTGGGAGATGTGCCACAGAAGGGCTCCGGGCCAATGAACTCTGTCTCGGATCCCTTCCTAGCAAGTTCATCCGCCTTTTCATTGCCACAAATGCCTTTGTGTCCTGGCACCCAACACAGTGTGACTTTATTGTTGGTGGCCAGTTCAGTCAGCACTTGTAAACAATCCCACACCAGTTTTGAACTTACCTTGTGTGCGGCTAAAGCTTTAATTGCAGCTCGACTATCAGAGAATATATATATGAGTTTACGTCTATAACCTCTACGTACATTCTCTGCCAGACATGCCATTATCGCGAAGATTTCTGCTTGGAGTACGGTAGGGAACTCCCCCAGACTGTAGCTTGCACTCTATCTGGGTCTGAGTCCATATATTCCTGCACCTGTCCCTCTGGTCATTTTGGAGCCATCTGTAAACCATACTAGGCTCCACCTTTCCAGGGTATTAAACCTTTCCTCCCACTTCCTTTGATCCTCTATTCGAGTCTCAAATGGCTTGTGGAAGTGAAACCTTGGAACCATCTTGTCAGATACCATCCCAAAAGTTGGTTCCGACATAGATGTATCTATGATCCTGGAATGGGAACCACCCCTCCAGTCATTGTTATTCCTGAGTCGATATGCTGCTAGCCGCGCTTCTCTTTCCACCACTATATGCAGCGGTGGTAGATTTAGCATGACTTCTAGTGCAGCTGTCGGGGTCGATGCCATCGCCCCCATTATACCTAAACAGGCCAATCTCTGAATTCTATTCAGTTTTTCCCTCGCTGTGGTCTGTTGTGTTTTTTGCCACCATACCACAGCGCCGTAAAGAATCCTAGGTCTTACTATCGACGTATAGCAACCAGTATGACATCTTTGGTTTCAGTCCCCAGGTGCTTCCAATAAGGCGACGGCATACACATAGTGTCTGCTTCGCCTTACTTACCACTTTTTCCAAGTGCGCATTCCAGGAGAATCCTTTTAATACCGACTTTAAAATCTACATTACTGGACAGAAATATTCCAGTTATGTTCAGCAATATTTCTAAATTATAAAAAATTTTCATTGTTCGTTTATTATAATAGTCTTCGACTTATTTGAAACTTTTACAAACGTTTTAAATATTGAATAATTTGGGTGGTTCATTATAAAAAAGTAAAAAATTGATTTAGAAAAATACATGGTACAACTGATTTGATGTAAAAAAACTACATAAAAAAAAATGAAAAAAATGGAAAATGCTTTTCTTTCTCAAGACAAATCAAAATATCGAGATGCTTTTTTCCTGAAAATTGAGTAGGAAATAAGTTAAAATTAGCACACCCAGTACAGTACCTATCTTCCTATATTTTTCATCCCACCTACAGCTCTTATTCTTGGAGATATGGAGAGTTCTATGAATTTTCCAGAATTTTGTATCATCAGACAAATGATTGTCAAAATAAACTTGTCTTCTTTGTTGGGTCTTATGGAAATGGAAACATACCCAAATGAATGTACCACAAATATAATGTGTGAATCGAAAATTTGGTCGTTTAGAAAATAACGATAATTTTCTTTATCACAGTTTGAGCTTATGGAGGACTCTTCGCCATTCTACCTTACTACAAATATTAAACAGGGTGGTCCCGAGGTAATGGGCCAAAATTCATGGGTAGATTCCCGAAGCAAAACTATTGCGATTTAGCCGAACTTACCTTAGTCCAAAAGTTGATAGTTAAAGAGGTACAGGGTGTTAAATGTAAAATATTATTTTAGTTTATTTCCATTTATTTCTTAATAAATGCAAATATCTACACAAAATTTTGGTGTTCGGGGTTCTTTGGATAGAGGAATTGAAATTTGTTCACATTTTGGTTATAGTTCATAGAGGGCGCAGCTGCCGTAGATTGAAGGTGTTGGAAACAACATAACTTTTTTGTACTTAAAGGTATCTCGTCTTTGGTATCAAATTCTTATTTTTCAACTTTTTTTACACAAAAAAGGTAGACTTTATGAAAGTAGCTGTCTCGCACCGTTTCCGAGATATTTGGCTTTGAAACTTCCAATGCTAATAGTTGATATAATTAAAATAATTTAGAAATGTCAAAAACAAGGGTTTATTTAGAATTAAAAATTGTAATGAACAGTAAAATAGTAAACATTAGTAAAAAAATATTTTGACAATAATTGCTTAAAATATCCACCTCTAACTTCAATACATTTATCAACACGTTTATTAAAAGATTGTCTTATTTTAAAGTATAAATCCTTAATGCGAAATGACTTTGCGGCATTTAAAACCTGCTACTAAAGTTCTTCTCAAGTGTTTATAGTTTCTCCATAAACAACTGATTTCATGTAACTCCAAAAACGAAAACCTCGGATTCTGTCTCACATTTATGTATACGAGTCTACAATTTAATTTGTAAGCTAAGATGTAATTTTAATTAGATACGAATAATACTTAGATAGATAGAAATTATCATACAAATGACAGCAATAAGACAAGTGGAAGACGTCAATTATTTGATTTTCGTCCAAATCCTACTTAAGGAACTTTATCGCTAAATTAATAATACCTGTAGGTACTTAATTGTAATTTAATGCAACAGCATTGGAAGTTTCAAAGCCAAATATCTCGAAAACGGTGCGAAATAGCTACTTTAATAAAGTATACCTTTTCTGTGGAAAAAAAGTTGAAAAATAAGTATTTCTTACCAAAGATGAGATACCTTTAAGTACAAAAAAGTTATGTCGTTTTTAACACATTTAATCTACTACAGCTAGCGCCCTCTATGAACTTTAACCAAAATGTGAACAGATTTCAATTCCTTTACCCAAAGAACTCCAAATCCCAAAATTTTGTAAGGATATTTGCATTTGTCAAGGAATAAATGAAAAAAAAAATGAAATAATATTTTACGTTTAACACCCTGTATCTCTTTAACTATCAACTTTTGGACTAAGGTAAGTTCGGCTAAATCGCAATATTTTTGCTTGGGGAATCTACTCATAAATTTTGGCCCATTACCTCGGGACCACCCTGTATATCACTGTCATTGTAAGAGTGTTCTATTCAATAATGTAAAAATAAACAGGGTATTTAGTTTGATATAACAATAGTCATCAGCAGTCTGCAGTATTTCTGGAATTAACGAGAACTAAAATGAACATCAGGGCGGGACTACAAATTCTATTAGTGGGATCGTTCCCATAGAACCTAGCTCAAGAACAACATTGTCAGGTAAAAGAGTCCTAGTTAAGACTAAGGACTAAGACTAAGGTAATTCTGTGATTTTAAATAACAAAAGTCTTCATTTATATTTAATACAACACTATAAAATTAGCAGCTGCAGATGTGATGCAAAATATAGGCTAACACAATGCTATCTTAAATTCACTGATATCTAACACAAATAAATTATTATTTACATTTATCCAAATTATCAGGCGGATAAACTATGCATATTTACAATAATATCTTCACTTACCTCAAGATTCCATCGTTTAAATTTGTTTGGCTTAAAAGAACAGGGTTACATTTTTTATCTAACGAAAATTCTGCATCTGGAACGATTTTAAATTTATTACAATGAAATATGATGAATGAAAAAAAGACGAAGTACCTATGAGAAACCCGAGGCCAGAGTTGATTCTTGCCCTGATAAGATTTTCAGATTGTATCAAGTTCCTCAAAGAATCCAATACTGCCTCCACCATTTCAGCTTTATCCTTGTTGTAGGAAATTTTGCCATTTCTTATAAGCGATGACGTAGGCAGCCTAGGTCCCTTATATTCTTGAATTAAATGCTTAGCGGCTCCGTCAATGTTTAGCAATTTCAGTTGTGTAGACACATTTAACGGATTAACTGAAAAGGAAAAATATATACTGCCATGTAAAAATAATACAATTATTTTATTCATTATGCATTTACTCTTAATATGAAAAAATAACAAGTTTGCCTTGTAAATTAATTATTTTTCAGTTTTCTATTTTATTTTTCCTCATATTATTAGAACCGGAGCAAGAATATTTCTTAACGGTAACTTTTTATGTACTTTCTTTTGGAAATATTAGTTTCCCCATCTAAAGTTATATTTTTGGTTCAATACCATCTACTGAATTTTTGAAAGAGGGCCTTGCCTTTTAAATATTAATGAAATGATACACTTTTAATTCTGTATGCACAGTGTCACTTATATACGATTAAATAGAAACAAATATTTTGTTTAGGTCACTTTCTTATTCCCATGATAGTACCCTTATCTTAGACACGGTGAATATTAGAATAAAATTTTTTTTTTTTTCTCAGAGTTAAAAAAGTAATAAATAGCAAATATACATGGTGTTGCAATAGTCCACAAACAAAAATTTATGGCTGATCCTCTGGCAAAAAATTAAAAAAATGCATATGAAAATAATATTTGCAAATACATACTTAGTTTTTGAGATATAACAAGGCATTAAGTTTTAATATTTGTTTGTAATTTTCATCAGTCATACATTGTTGACCCTCAAAAGTGTTAAGGTGCCTAACTAAAATGAGATATTTTAAAAAATGCGTAAAAAATGGTTTTCCAGATGTATGCTCATATGAATTTTGTTTATTTTTTATCTAAGAATTTTATCAGTTAAATATTTATTTAAACTTTTTAAATTTATATACAGGTATAATGAAATGTCCTATACATCACTTTGATCTATAGTGAATATATTAAACTATTATTCTCTAAAGTTAACCAAAAATCGGTTAGGAACAGAAATAAATACCTACGCACATAAATCTTTAAAATTTTTATGGTTATGATTACCTTCTAGCCTATCCAAAAAATTGCTCGATAAAACAGAAGATATATGTTCATGATTTGCCTGATTTAGTAACATTAGCGACCAGACTATGTCCAACCAAACCAATGGTTTACTTGCTTCAGAAGGTGTCAGTTGAGGTATTATTTCCTGGAAATATATTTAAGTTATTATACACGATTACATAAATGCAAAATTGTATACCTCAAATAACTTTTCACAGTTATTAGGAGTGTAGTGAAGAACTGCTAAAGTCATAAATAAACTAAAAATATCTTGGGGTCGACATATTGCATGATTTTTTAATACCCATTGACTAAGGGTGTCCAAAAGATCTGAAAAATAATATAATTGCTAAATAATTACTCTGAGAAATATAGCATTTTATCTTTAAAGAAGATATTTATATTTTGATCATGAATCATCTATTTCATAATATGGAAAATTAAATATATCTACAGGATCTCTAGCTTTATAGGGCACATGTTAGTAATGCAATAAGTAAAAAACAAATGAAATGAAATTATTTATTATGAAGTATACTCTAAGTATACGCACATTTAAAGAATACAACTTCAATAAATTATATTCTAAGCTAGCTGCAGTATTTTTTCTGGAATCAATTTTTGAAAAATTTGATTGGCAATTTTTATATAAAATTTAATAACACATTCTACACTCCTTAAAATGCTCCTGTAGTAATTTCTATAAACTTGTTTGTAAATATTTTATTTGTTTATTTTACAAAAATAATTTACAATTTTTCTTGCACTTCTTATTATTTAAAATAAAACATTTCAATAGATCAATCCAAGAAGTGCAGAATAACCACAGTTATTGAACATTTGCATAAGTTTCTCATGCATGATAATCTGTTGATAAATTGTTGGTTTTTGCAATTTGCCTCTATTAAAATTCAATTATTAAAGAATACAGAATTCACATCAATTTCAACAATTTCTTAAAAATTTTCATTTTCTATTTTTCTTATTTAATACATGACTTTCCATAAATTTTTTTAATCGTCATTTTGAGCAATTATTTTGATTACTTCTGTATCTGCAGATGTTTGTTTAGGAAAAATGCATATGCATTTGCAGATTTCTGAAAACATGAAATTTATAACATCGCTATTTACTACGCTAATGGCCCATATATCAACATATTGTGACTGATAACAAATTTTAATTATACAGGCTGTTACAAATTTGTTTCTGACTACAGGCATCTCGGAAACGGTAAGAGGTACAAAGTAGCTTAAATGGAGGTAAAGTTGCGTAATCAGGGGACCAACATTATGCCTCTAAAAAATCAAGGCTAACATGATTAGTTTTCGAAATATTTTAAAAAAACACGAAATTTTGGAAATCAGTTTTGTTTAATTTCAGCCTTATTTGAGGTGATATTGAAAAAAGAAGAACACTTTCTCATGGCCACTTTTTGCCCTCTATCCAATGGCATAATCAATTTTTATATGTAACGTTTCGTCTCTCCAAGACCATCATCAACTTCATTTTTTAAATACAACCATAGAAATTTTATTACATTTTTTACAGGCCTTCATGACCCCTAATATTGCACTGCCTCAGCCCGAACCAGATTCAGACGTTTTGTCTCGAAAAATTCATCTGTATTCGTAACAAATTTATCTACATTTTTTATTTAGATTTCTTTGTTTATTGAATTATTGTACACTGTAAGTGTCCTTAAACCCTGTGAAATCCATCTAGTTATTTAAACTATTACCACCACGCGTTACAATAAATTATAAAACATTAATTATTATTAACTATTAACATTATTACAATTTTAATTTTATTATGACAAATTAGTTCTTAAAATGCATATGAACAACCAAAGCGCCGACTGAATATTATTCTTTAAAAAATTTCAGTAAATATTCCAAAACATTTTCATGTTAACCTTGATTTTTTAGAGGCATAATATTGCCCTGATTACACAACTTTGCCCCCATTGAAGCTACTTCGTACCTCTTACCGTTTCCGAGATCCCTGTAGTGAGAAGCGAATTTGTAACAGCCTGTATGGTCCTAAATGGTCCTAAATTGCCTCTTTATACAAGAACATTTTTTCTTCAATAGTCTAGGTACAATATTTTTCAAAAATTTAAAAAAAGACAAAAATAAAAAAATTGGGGATGAAACAATGATAGTTACCCCTTAAAACTACAGTTTATACTACGATTTTTAAGAATTTGTCTGACATTCATTGCCAGCAAAAAGTGCTAGATTTCACTGTAAGCAATGAACATCATTAAAAAAACGATGATCACTGGTGACAGTGTAAGCTAGTGTTTTCTGCTGATGATGTCTTATACCCGTTTGCACTGAAGTTAATAAGCATAACTTAAAAATAAGAAATGCTTACGTAAGCTTTTTGTATTGCACCATACGTTAAGATCTTCTTAAGTATGGAAACAGATTCTTAAATTTAAGCCTCAGTTTGACAGCGACTTATGAAGTTCTTTATTCAAACAGACTTGGAGCGTGCGCAAAACACTAAAATTTCAAAGAAAAAAAAACGCGAAGTTCAAATAAAATGGTGTGTGGTATTAACATAGGTAGTTGTAAAAAAGTATTGTGGATATTCGATTGAATGACATATTTGATGATTTAGATGTTTTGGAAATTACCGATTTTGGGATTCCCAGATTAAATTATACAAGATCTGAATATTTCCATACAATGGACGAACTGAATTTTTATAAAATATTTCGTCTTACAAAAAAGATTTGTCTGTGAATGTTACTGTTGATAGAGAAAGTAATAGAATAAAAGAAGTACTAGAATCTTGAAGAAATTATTATTTTTATTTTATCTCTGATAACTAGTCTTTTGGTCAACATCAACAACAACCATATATTATTGTATATTACATTTACAACAAACACCATAGACATGATACAACAAACTGAATACCGAAACCTAACCTAACCTAATTTTTCATAAGTCCATGTAACAAACTGAAGAAAATCAGAAAGAACTAAAATACCTAAAATAAAGTAATGAAAGTTACTAAATTTCTGCGTTGTTGCCAATACATAGACGTACTTTGCTAAGTATAGTTTATGATCCATCCGTGCAATGCTCTAAAAAAATAAGTATAACTTAATTTTAAGAACAACTTCATTAAGTTATTCTTAGGATAATATCGGTGCAAAAGGGCATTAGATACCATAGCTTTAACCAACATGTGGGTTTTCAATAATACTGCATAAACTGTGTCCAGATGCCCTAAGGTTAAGTTTATATTCATCCCTGAAGCATCAACTATTCAATTGCTTATATTCTGTGCCAAAAAAATAGAGTATAGGTTATCACAAGTGACATCTTTTAGAAAATTTATTAGATTAGATCTAGACTAAACAGCAGTATTAATTTATATTAACCTCACCTGAATTTTTATATTTTAATAATCCAACACTAGTTATTATTGATCCAATTACTGCACTTTTCTTCACATCACTTTCAAGATCAATACACACATCATTTCCAATTCTTGATAACAAATTTTCATCTGGAAAATTTAATGTAGACATACTATATAGTAAGTCGCTACTTTGTTTAAGATCTAATCGATCTGAACTTGCTGTAATATTATAAGCTAATGCACGAAGTAATAAAGTTGACCTTCTTTTTCTTTGAGATAGTGTTGACATGACCTAAAAAAACTTTTTCCCATGTAATAGTTATACATATTTCACTTTTTTTTACTGTTTTGATTAGATAGCATAAATTTTCTGGTCAATAAAAAATGAAGTTACTTATAGATGCAGAATTGTAGACCCTGATGCAAGAGGTTAGTCAACATGTAAATTATTAGAACAGTCAAAGAAGTGTTTTTTACATATTTTTTATTGTCACATCATTTGGCTACATAAGTACAACATTAGTGTCTGGGTTGAATTAAAATATGCATATCAATAATGATGGCATGATAAAAAAATAATTCATTGTACAAAAACGTGACTTGTGTATGTGTTGATATTTATTTTAAATTTAACTACACCAGGTGGAAGAAGTTTCAGGATAAACATATTCGTGTAAAAATAAGGAAAAATATGTAATACCTACTATATCTAGCCATCAGTGGAGGAGATTTTGGTAGGCCGTTCAATTAATTCAGCAAATAAAGTAGTACAGTCCTCTAAAATATGAGAACTGGTACCATTTTTGAATGCAATATTTTATGTCGGACAAAAAAATCTGTCTAGGGTTTTCCTTGTATTTGCTGTTTCATGTCGAATTGAGTTCTGTAATTCTTGACATGCCTGGACAATAAAATGGCACATTTTTTCAAGTAACATTTTATTTGTTAATTTAAACAAGAAAGCCTTCTGAAATATTTCGAATACATCTCTGCGGTAAATCTCATAAATATGGAATGCTTTTATTAAAATATCAATGTTCAGAAAAAATAGAAAAATTAGTTATTCACATTTTTATCTTATATTGGGAAGTTATGTATGACGTTTCATAAAAGCAGTAGTGATTTTGTTTTTCATCATGCTACATTATTGTGTTGAAAATGGTTAATGTGAACAATACATCAAGCTTATTGATATGGTATTGCCACTACAGACACGGAGTTACATATTGTACAGAATTACAACACTCGTAGATATTTGTATTAAAATTTGCAAGAAACAAAACAAATATCTTTCTTTTACAATTTATGTACTTAGTTTAGTTTTCTTTTGTAATTTAGAACCAACATGCCCAGTATATTGAATGAACATATACCTACTTTAAAATAAAGAAAAAAAATGATGTTACAAAGAAGTTAAATAATGCATAATTTTGGAAAAATATTGCTGCTTTTATGTAATTTGTTTAATATTCCCCTCATCTTTTAATCTATCATATATCAGAATGGTTTATTCCGGATGATAAAGGTTTTACCTACAGTACTTTCTTTTGGATTTTTTTTTTTGAATTAACCTAACAATTCTTTTTTTATAAAGAACCATGGAAATATATTTGCATAAATTGAAATTCGGACATTTTAATGTAGGTATATTTTATGTGAATTTGATTTCTTGTGAAATAGTAAAAGCCTTATTTTTCTTTTCATCGGAAACAATGACGATTGGTACCACTCTGTTAAAGAACGGTACTCTATTCTTTTTGTTTTCAGGAAGAACACTTGGAAAACCATTTTGTCCTTGATATCGTATGTTGATATCGTATCAACAAGAATGTTGCTCTTCTGTTCTCAAACTTGTTCTTATTGATAGCTTGCTGGCCTTTGAATTTGCTCTTGAAAATATCAATAAGTTCTTTCTATAAATTGCTCAGTTCATTGCTGTGTAGAAATATACATAAAAATAACTTTTTTTGTTTTGTTCAGCAAAGTTCTTAGTTTTTAGTAAAAAGTACTCTTTTTGCAAATCTTCATCTAAATAAAAAACGCATTTATGGTTAGAATTTATAGGACCCAAACTTAGCTGCACGCTTTCTACTTAACGATATGCCTACATTATGCAAACTATTTCCTTTCAAATATGTATTTTCTGTTAAGATCACTTTAAGTTAAATTGTACCTTGCAGTTTTGACTGTAATTAAAGAAAACACATAGAGACTTACTTTAACCATCTGCGGTAATGTAATACTTCCAACTAGTTTTGCTGCTTCATCATCTGCAGTTACACTAAGAATAGTCGATAAATCTTCACTTCGCGATGAAACTGAATTCCTGTTTTTTGAATTTACAGCTCCTTTTGTTAAAATTCGACATAGTTTTATAAAACGAGGATCACTGTCAAAATCTGCTAATTTAACTTTCCCTGATGTAGACCAATCAGCTAATACTGACACAACCTAAAATTTTATATAAATTCTCAAGAAAACTATAAAACGCTACTCACTTTTAATGCATGCCTTCTGGATACACCAGTTCCTTCTGAAATTGATAATATTTCATCAATACTTGTAGCTTTAGTAATTCTTTCGTCAGTAAATGGTGTTTTAATATCTGGTAATGGATGCTCTGACTGTAATGAAGCAAATGCAGCAGCTACCATAGCACTATTAGCTTTTGAATTTATAACTGGGTTTTTTGATGTTTGTTGATTACCGATATAACTTTCTGTTGAATTGTGTCCATTATTTTTCAGTTCGGCAGTGGGGACAGATGATGAAAAATTATTAAATCGTACTAATGTTCGTAATCTACTCTTAGTTTTAGAACAAGTTACAATTATGTGAGATAATTTCAACATTTTCTTAGATAACCTAAAATTTGTATAACAGCAAAATCAAATTTTGTACACTACGATTCCTAGAATTGAATTAAATATCTGGAATTATTAATAAACTGCTGCTAAATTAATTGATACTCAACATTTTATAAGTTTTAATTACAATACTTCAAGTTCAAAATATACATTCTTAAATTAATGGTCACATAACAATATGACACTTCTGTATAGAGATGTGTTGCTCTTTCACTGTCTGCTACTTTGGCACTGTTCCGCAGTTGTCACTGGAGCTGACTGTTCCGCTGCGACAAAAGAAGCAGTGATTTTTCGGAGCGTTTACTGCAAAGTGCAGTTTACTAGAGCCAGAGACATAGCTCAGACGTGCCGGCCACAGCAGAGCAGATTCTCGCTCAGCCGTTGCGAACTGTGCTTGAATTTTGAATTAGTCACAGTGTCACACACTAAACATATAATACAGTCGCGTTTGATTTAAAGACATGGTATTTCAGCGACTAGAGCAATGCGTGTATTGCTGGTTGCTGCTCTACAAATATTTTAAAAGTTTTTGTTTACAAAATCACTTAAAACTTAGACTAAGCAAAAAACATGCGACTGTTCTTCATTTGTTTTTGTTGCACTCGCGGAAAAATTTTGAATATCTGGCACTGTACTCACTGTAGGATGTCGTTGTTCTATGTGTCTTTTTAAATTGGTGATTGAAGATTTATAACAAATATTTTGCTCGCATATATTACAATAAGCTTTACTTTCATGCGTTGGTAAAAATAAATTCCACAGGAAAGATTTTCTTCGTTTATCCATGTCCAATTTTATTTGTAATAAAAATTTATCAGTAGTAACTTAGGACAAAATAACAGATAACGCTATATCAAATTCAAATAAATAATGCAAAAGCGAAATAACAAATTGAGCTAAATCTACGAAAGTTGGCACATGCTTGAAAAACAGCGCATGACGAAAGTATCCCTATTTCCTAACGCTAGCCGCTATTAAGTACGACAAGTGTCGATTTATGAACTTTGACGCTAAAATAAGGGAACGTATCACGGTAGAAATGTATGCGAGCGCTACCAGGAGCTGTTCCGAAAAATCGCAGCTATTTGTCACTGCTCTGTTGCCGGAGCAATAGCAGGTGTCACTGCTCCGCAAAAAGAGCAGTTTAGCCCATCTCTACTTCTGTACAACAGAACACAGATTTGATTCTGTGTATAGAGGGTTTCATAATAGGCTTTTTTTCGCGAGTGAATATTGGTGAATACGTCTGACTTGTAGTTACTGTTTCTATCTCTTTTAATCTTTTTTCTAACCTTGTCTAACCTGAACAGATCGCGAAAATGTATATATTCACTATTCAGTGGTGCAGCCCAGGGGCTGTGCACTCTCTGTGGTGGGGGAGGATTACACAATAGTTCATACACTTGCCATTTTGGCGCTGGCATCTAGGAATCTTGGGTGTTGTTGATAAAACAGGAACCAAGTTTATCATTTACTATTTGAATTTATTTTGTTTTGTGGATGGTTTTGTGTTATTGTTGTATTTTATTTATTGTTAATTGATTATAAACTATAATAGGACAATGGTTTTTGTGTGTTGTGGACCGAATTGTGATGAAAATGTAAGCAAGAATTAAAACGCTTATATATAAAGGAAACAATTGTACCGTAAATTTGTAACCTATATACAATATTTTTATTACACTTTCTTTCAGGTATAAGTGGCAAATTTAAAAAGCGTGAAAAGTATGTTCATTGTATGTAATACGAAAAAGACCTGAATTACAAATGATTCCACCAATATTATCTATCAAAGTGGATTGCAAATATGTCCCATATAAAAAATGAATCTTACCATTAAGTAAAATATTTGCTGTTTCAACGTCTACGTTTACTAAAACATCTGCGCCTCTAAAGTTTAAATTTAAACTGACCACTTCCACAGCCGTATCAGAATCCATTATTTTGCTGAACGATTTTTATCCTCATTCAAACAAAATGTCAAAAAGAAAAAGGTTAAGTTACCGGCTGACAATACTAGTTGAATATACCAACAGAATATTCAGCTGAAGGGTGAAGAGTTCAGTCATTTGATCTAAACTTGTAACGTCACATAGTAGTTTAAATGACTGACTATTCTCGCAAAAACGTAATATTCACTCATACTACACATACTACAACATACGACTTCACTCGCGAAAAAAAGCCTATT